ACTTCTATATTATTTCTAATCAATTATTTATCAACACATTATGATCTACGCGCAAATCATGTTGCCAATGTAATGAGAGCAACTAAATGAAATAACTAAGATATGTAGATATGTATATATATACTTAAATATATGAATGTTTGTATATAGCAAAAGAAAATATTAATAATTTATAGTGCACATTAAGTATTGGCTAGAACTAAAATGAATTATTGTGTATATAAGTAAAAGTATATATGCTAGGTATATACATATATATATATATATAAACAAGAGGAAATGTTAATTTCGGTTGCACCGAAGTTAGAATACCCTTCACATATCATAAAATTATACAAAAAATCTTTAACTTGATTTTGATCGATCAGTTTGTATGGCAGCTATATGCTATAGTGGTCAGATCTGAACAATTTGTTCGGAGACCGTACCGTTGCCTTAAACAATAATCTACACCAAAGTTTGTAAAGATACCTTTTAAAATAAAAATTTTTTCCATACAAGGACGTGAGTTTGATAGGTAAGTTTGTATGACAGCTATATGCTATAGTAGTCTGATCTAAAAAATTTCTTCACATATTTTAGCATTGCCGTAAACAATAATTCATGTCAAATTTCGTAATGATATCTCGTCAATTGAAAAAGTTTTCCATACATACAATTTATTCCAATCATTCAGTTTGTATGGCAGCTATATGCTATAGTGGTCCGACATCGGCATTTCCGACGAATAAGCAACTTATTGTTGACAAAAGGACGTGTGCAAAATTTCAGATTGATATCTCAAAAACTGAGGTTCTAGTTCGCGTATATGCAGACATACGGACATACGGACATGGCAAAATCAACACAGCTCCTCACGCTGATCATTTGTATAAATATTTTTAAGTGTCTCCAACTTTTCCTCCTGGCTATTACAAACATCGTGACAAACTTATTATACCCTGTTCAGGGTATAAATATACATATATAGTTTTTCGCTTACACTAGACACTTTGTTCTTAGCCTACTTCTATATACATACATACATACATATATGCATTGCAAAAAAAAAAAAAACAAAAAAAATTGTCATGCCATTAATGGCGAGTCAAATAGATTTATTATTTTACTTCAAGTTCATAGAAATGTTAAACACACACACACGCACATATACATATATTCAATCTACTTGACCAATTAATTATAGCAATGTACGAATGTGCACATATAGTTGCCGATAAATATTTACTTAAATGCATTTTTGTTGAATTGTTTTGCATGGACTCAAAGCCAGGGGCACACCAACACGCCGTTTGTAATTTCTTGTTAGAAAATTAGTTTTGTAAAATTATATAGATATGGTTTATTGATTTACTAAAAGCAGCTTGCTGCTTTGTGCGTACAATAAACTATATTTTGTAGTTGCAACAAATCGCTAAAATGTATGTATATACATATATTTCTTTAATGCTACTGACTGCCGTAACATCACTCATAATCGGTTTTATTTACAATTTTCGTTGAATTTATTATAATTTTATATAATAATTTATATGTTTACATAACAAAAATATGTATGTTTGCATTTAGATTTAGTGGAAATAATTTACACAAAAATTTATAAGTGGTTTATGTTATGCTTCATTTTTCCATTGAAGATATTTACCATAAATGTGGATTTTGAAAAGCTGATTCATACGATATGTGGAATAAACATATATGATATAGACAGAGAATTATACCACTTTACTTTCGTTTTAGCTGGCACTTTTGCTATATAAAACTTTTCAAAATATAGCTTAAACATTTTTTGAAGTATATTGTTTTCTACTCTCCAATATTTTTCTCAATATCTAATACTTTGGCTATGTTAAATTTTTGTATAAATACAGGTATTTCCATTTTTCACACATTCACTCTGTTTTATTTGAATTTGGTTGGACGCAATTTTTTTCTGTTGAAAATATTTCAAACATACATATGTATGTATGTAGATAAATTGTTTAAAAATTACGTGAAAAAAAAATTATTATTTTTCTGCTTTCCGATATTTATCTGCATATATTATTCCTTGTATAAGACAAATTTTCTTAAATCATTATTTTTTTTCATTCTTTCTTTATTTTTTGTCTTACTCCAGTATTGGTGATTTTTTCCTAGTGGAAAACATTTGTTGATATGCATAAGTAATCAAAATTCCCTGACATGTTCTAGTAATATACTTTTAGAACTGGCATGCCAATTAATTAATATGGCTCCAAATGTGTCAAATATATATATATATCGAATCCTTTTTTGTGCCTATACTGAGTTGTAACTCCACTAACACAAACTTAACTAAAGCTTAAAAACCAATTTTGATAACAAATTTTGATTTCTTTAGTAATATTTTTTTTTAAATAAATATCAGAGCGACTTCCTGATCAGAATTTCTAACCGACACGCATATAATATCTGAATTTATAGGTTATATGTTTCTAAATTATCATTATCTGGTGGCTTTTGACTTTAAAACTACGAAACAACGAGTTGAATCTAAAAAATATTTGAAAATTTTTGTTTCCAAACAGGCTTTAATCTCCTTAAACAGAAAATATGGTGCTTAAAATTAGTAAAAGGAAAAGGTTTTTAATCCAAACTCCGAGTTTTAAAGTAGTATTTAGCATTTAAGATCAAAAGGTACATAAACTCGAGTTTGTTGCTTGAGAGTAATGCATTTTTTATATGCTTTTCTTTTTACTCAAATTCGAAAAATATAATATTTTAAATTTTTGTGAGACTTAAACGTTTATAAACACAAAATATGGTGTTTAAGACGAGTTAAAGAAGCATGACTTTATAGCATAATATACAAAAAACTCCAAGCTTTAAAGTAGTATAATCATCAGCGTCTAACACCAAAATGCTACCTAAAATCGAGTTTGTAGCTTGAAATAAAGATACTGACAATACTAATACTTCATATGCTTCTTAGTAATTAAGAGCAGATAACTCTTGCCAATAAAATTTATCAGCACATTTTGCTATTACTTTATAGATTTCACCTAAGAAAATGCCTGTCAGCCTTAACCCAACATATCTTCATATCAATATATACAAAAGTGCTTCGAAAATAATACAAAAATATATATAAAAAAAATTTAAGACGGAAAAGCCTGATGAACCAGTATATTGATTTTAAAACGAAGTAGATGAGAAGGTGAGTACTATAAAAAGTTGCCTACCTATATTAAAACAAAACTGATTTCATAATATATTTATAAACTTTTGGCTCTCAGCAGCTGTTTTAATACGAAGAGTTAAGAGATTATAATAAAACATGTTCTAAGCAATTCTACGTTGATACAGACTAAAAATTCTAAAATGAACAAAACAACTTTGAGCGTCTTCTTAAAATGTATCGTCACTTTATGTACGTACATGTATATATGTACGTACATATATTATATTATGCATAAAATTTTTCTGAAACACTCATTTCTTGTTGTGATGTTTGTCAAACGCTGATGTTTTATTAAATCGCCTCTCTTCATAAGAAATCTTCTGAAAACCAACAACATTTTTTTTCAAGTTTAACTTCAATATGTAGTTTATTTGGATGAAAATTATATTGGTTTGGGAACAGTTACTTTATTCTGTATAATTTTATGTATAACACCTAATTCACACTTTCTTATTTTAATTCATTCATAAATATTTAAATATTATAATAATATAGTAAGTTCATAAGCTCAATAGTTTTTTTTGACATTGAATATAACTAGAATCCACAGGTGCTTCGTCTTAGTATACATTTGTGTTCAGATACATAACCTAAAAATTATAGAACTGTTTGCTATAAGTCTTGGACATAACATATTCTTTAAGTTTTCAACGGTGTAAAATTTTATATTTTTTGTATAACATTTTTTAACACTTGAAAATTAGATTTTTTTTTTGTAAAAAAAACTTCAGTCAGTCAGTAAAACGATAAACAATTATTCAATTGATATTATATGCAAAATTAAACCTACAAAAATGTTTGTATCAATTTTCTTTCACTAAACTGTAACGAATTTATCTTTTGAAATATACATGTTGTTGTTGTTGAGCATCAGAAAACAGTACCTATATATTTTTGAGGAAGTGCGCCGAGTTGATAGTCTCGTTGACAGTTGATAGGCCACAAAAACTTTCGTATCCCTACAGGTTATGCAGACCTAATCATATGACAATATAAATAGAAGTATGTATATATATTCCACTTACATAGACCTGACGGTTGCGGAAACAGTACGATATATAAGCAGAGACTGTCTTTTAATGGCATATTTGAGTGCATTTGACTATTTCTGATTAAAATTAGGTGAAACTTTGAACTTGCAAACTTTGAATGACAAATATTATTATCTATCTGGACTTTCTCTAAAAGTAGTCACTGTTATACAAACATACATAATAAAATTGAATTTAAGTAAAATTTGCCACGAGGAGGTAGTTTGAGTCCATATAAATAAGTGTTCTTGAAAGCATGCTTTTAATTTAATTCCAAAATTTTTTTGTTTCCACTAAAAATGTCTTTCGTCACTTTAAAATATATATTTATTTTTTTACAATTGTAAGTTGTCTTTCTCAACCAAAATTATCGAAGCATATTACTAAATAAAAAAAATCTGCTCTGGGGAATGTTTACGTATACAGAATGTGTTTTTGGCTTCTTGCTGGATATATTAATAATTATTATTATCAAAACTCTTATTCAATTCACTGCTCTATCTATAATTAACTGCAACTCATTATATATGCATTATTCGAATTGTATTTTATAGAAATTGTTTAGCTTAAAATTATTTTTACAATAAAAATCACTTCACTGAAGCATCGATAAGTCACTGGAAAATTTTCTTGGGTTCTTCACAGCTACATTACAAACAAAACTGTCATACAATTTACACCGCTATCAATAATTAACTATATCTATCTTATTATATCTCAATTGCAGCTCATTACATTATCTATAGCTATCTATATTCTAAACTTACCCAGCATTGAGCGCCTGCCGGTAGATCTCAAGCATGAGCGCTTCGTGCAACATATTTATATTTTGCTGAATTTTGGCGGTATTTTGGCGAAAAATTCTCGTTGGCAAAACACTTGGCTGTGCTAACTTAATGTTTATTTAATTATGCTTAATTTTTTTGTAAACTTTTTTGTTTTTTTTTGATTTCACAATCGAAATATAACAATTTGGCTTGTGGCGGAGAATTTCGTGGAGGGGTTCTGGAGACGAAAGTAGTTTTTGCGGATTTTATGCTGCAATATTTTTGAGTTTTATGCACTTATTGGCTGTAATGGCTGTCAATTTGCTGGTTGACCGTTTTTAATTAACTTTTAAGGAATATTTTTTTAAAACTTTAAATACTTTTATTTAAATTTTCGTGGCCTTGTAGTTTGCGTTTTTATTTATTTTTAATTTAATTTTAGTTTTTTTAAACGTATACACTTTTGCTTGCGAGTTTTTTGTATTTATTTTTTATGGTAAATATTAATTTATTTGCATAAATATGTATTTGTTGTTGCTTGGCTTTTTAGTTTTAGATTTTTTTTTTAATTTTAAGAAGTATAAACTACTTAAATTTGTAATTTTTTTTCGTAGTTTTTGTATTTTAATTTTTTTTATTTGCTTTAATATAATTAAAATAGCTTTATTCTTGCCGTAGGTAGAGATTTTTTATTAGCTTAAATATTTTTTTGTTTTTATATAAGTAAATATTTTAATATTTGTATTTAATTAAATTAATTAATTGCATGGATTCGTATACATTGGGTTGTTTGTTTTGTAACTTTTAAAGGGGCTTTAGTGTACTACATTTAAGTTGTTTGTTTTTGCTTTAGTTTTGGTGTTTTAAACGTCGCAACGTTTAAACAGTGATTTTTTAATTTTTTTTTTATTTTTAAATTTTTTCGAATATTTTTATATATTTTTTCAAATATTTTACATAAATATTTTTGCACTATTTTTAAACATTTAGCGTTTATTGACTCGAAAAAATCTTTTTTCATACACTATTAATAATTATTTTTATTTTAACAATTTTTGTAGAATTTTTTACGTTTAAATAGTATTTTTTTTGCTTTTAAATAGTATTTTTTATTATTGTTGTTGCATTTACGTATACTTTGTTGAACAGGTTCTGCAGTTTTGTGCTACATTTTTCGCTTTTGCTTTAATCACTCAATTTGCAGTGCGCTCCAGCTGGATTTAACATTAATTTTAGTTGGTTTTAAGTATATATTTTTGTTGTTGTTGTTGTTTTTAGTTAGTTTTGCATTTATCAGTCTTTAAGTGTTCGCACGCTTTTACATGCAGCATAGTACACATATGTGGCATTTGCTGTTGTAGTTGTTGTTGCTATTGTTGTTGTACGCTATTGTAGTATAACAGCCATTAACTCTACCTTTTCAATTTTTTTTTGGAAGAAAAATCGAAGAAAATTAAATTTTAATTCAAATAAATTATGCGCACTGACTAGATGTGTTTTTGCACTGTATAGTTGTAGTTGCTATTTTTATTTAATTGCTGCTGTTATTTTGAGTAGGGAACGCGCTGTTATTATTTTGCAAAAAATATTAAAAATTTTAAATAAATTTTCAATTATTTATATTTTAATAATAAATTTTTTTTTCATATCACACTTTGCGAGTTTGCTTTGCCGCGCGTCACTTATATACGCTTTAACTGCACTTTCAGCTGTCACAATTTCATTTAGGTATATTTATTATTACAACTTACTACCCAACTGCCAATTGTAGTAGTTGTTGTTCGCAACGAAAATTTCCCAATTATACGCCGCGTACATGTATCGCGTTCAAGCGCTACTCGATTTTTCTGTCGTTGCCCGTTTGAGAGTCGAACAGCGAATGTCGTCACGTCGTCTTCACGCTACGCTCCGTAGCCTGCTTGCCTGATTGTGTGCTGTCAGTGCTCATAACAGAGCGCTTTACTGCTAGCTGGCTGTTTACTTGCCCGAGTGCGGATGATGCGAATTGGCTACGACGAGGACGACTGGACTGACTGCCGCAATTGACTGCGCTTACTTTCTGTTGTTGTGTTGTGTGACTGCGGCGTTTTGTGTGCGTGACGTTGCGCAGAGCGAAGCGCACTGTGCGACGCTGCTTCATTGCGTTCGTCTGCTCATCAACATATTGATTGAGAGGAACACTGCGCGCCTGATGTCAGCTATATAATACGCAGAACCAGCACAACAACAACAGTAAGTATATACGACAGCTATTGTAGTAGCTGTGTTAACCAGCGCTCGTGACGGAGTTTGGCTCATCGCACGTCGTCAATGCAGCCGGTTGAAACCGATTGTCATTGTGTCGTCGCAGCAGTCAACGCTGCGCTGTTTATTGTTGCTGCAAACGCACTCGCTCATTTCACGACGCGCCACACAAACGTGCTTTGTAATGCAAGTAAACAAAAACAATAAAAAAAAAAAAACAGAACTGTGTGTGTGAGGAGTTTTTGGAGCGCGCTGTCAAACTCTGTGGGATACGCTCAGCAATGTAACGGCAGAGACGGCAATACTGGTAGCGCAACAATAAACAGCGCGTATATTTCTGATTGATCCAAGGCAAAGTAGCAGCGGCTGCTAACAACAACAAAAACACAAATGCGCGTAAGCAAAGTGGTTCGTAGTCGGCATTAGTAGCGCGTGGTTTGCGCTGCCTTTTTGCTTGCTTTACGCTCGTTGGGGAAGTGAGCGCGCAACAACAACAAACAGCAAGCGGCTGGAGAAGCGTATAAAGAAGCGTGAAATATTTTTTGCTGAGCGTTGTCAAATCTATTGAACTAGTTGTTGGTTGCGGAGCAATGTTATTCAAAAGCGCTACTGGTCGAATGTGCGTTTAAACTACAACAACTGAAACAAATAACTATTTGGAAAACATAAAACAAACACAGCGCCAACAATGATTTTGCAATTTTTTTGCGCATTTGTTGTTGTTGCTCTGCTTTTTGCACATATTTAGTGCGTTCGTAAATTGTACGGATGTCGCGTTCTTTAGCTGTGCTTGTACTTCCGCACCAGCGCGACAGCTGAGTAGCGCTTCGCTGCCACAGCCACTTGCTTTGGCATACATATAATATTAGCGTTGAATTGTTGTTGAAATTTTAGGCCTCATAGTCGTTGTTGTTTTTGTATATTTTTTTGTTCTTGCTTGTTGTTGTAATTTTTTTGTATTCTTGCGTTCATTTGTAATTTTGCTTTTGTTATTGCTGTTTTCCGTCTTAGTCGAAATATTATGTTTTTTGGTGTGAAAGTTGTTGGGTGCGTGAAAAGCGTATAAAGTTGGCAGCGCGCTGGCTTTTATTTCGTGGGGTCAGCGTGCGCTCAATTAAATTGGGGGTTCGCACATGTAGTACGCTTGTGTTTGGCTTATTTGGCAGCTGTCAGTTTGCGATTAAGACGTTTTGTTTTCAATTGTAATTTTGGTTATTTGTTTTAAATTAATTTTTAATTGTTTTATAAAAATTTAAATTTTAGTTGCAAATATGGAATATTTTTGTGTAATATATTTAATTCATATAGACTCTTAATTAATTTTTGTAATTTTTTAAACGATTTTACTTGTTGTGGTAGTTTAAAAATTAGTCAAAAATTAATTAACTAAATTTTATAATTCAAATATCGATTATAATGGTGTAATTTAAGTGGTTCAGTGTTATTATTATAATTTTTTTTTATTATTATTTTTTTACACTAAATCATTTTTGTTTTTGTACTTTTTAATCAAATTATTATTTTTCGCATTACTTTTTTTCTTGTATATATTATTATATATTTTTTATAAATTTTATATGATCAAAATTGTATTTTCTAACTTCTGTGCCAGCTTTCTTGTCTAACTTAAGAATATCGCGCCCTTTCTATTATAAATTAAATTATAAAAAATCTTTCTGCTACCAACAGTCATTTTAGCAATACAAATGTCTTGTCTTGTCATATCTTCTGTACTTTTTCTGATATGAAACAGCTCCTTTTTATAATAGCATACTTTTTTAAAAGTATGCTGAGGCATAAAGCGTTTCGCGAACGGCATGAAAATGCATGAAAATACGGAAATCGTTCAGAAAAATTGAATGAATTTTATAAAATTAATATTATAGAAATATTTAAATTACTTTGATTGAAATTATTCTGACCACATAAGAAATTTAGTGTCTTTAAAATTTTTTTATTGAATATTACAATTTTTTGATTAATGTTAGAAAAATATGTATTTATAATTTTATTATTGAAATTATTTTGATTAAATAAAATTTTAAATGTATATTAAATAAATTTATTTAAAGAAAATTAGTTTTTATAAAATGAATCTAAGAGAAATATTTAAAATATTATTGTAATTAATTACAATTTTTTTAATTGCTCGTAAATATTTTTATTTACATTTGGTTTTTATAAAATTAATATTAGCAGAGTATTTATATTATTATTATTGAAATAATATTGATTTATTTAATTTTTGGTGCGAGTAATATGTATTTTTTATTGAAATTAAATTTTTTTAAAATAAATATCAAACGTTTTTGTAATATTTTGTAATGGTTTCAATAATTTGGGTGAATTAAATTTTACAGTTTTTATTTCCATCATAGTTTTCTTAAAATTATTGTTTTATACTGTTTTTATAGTATTTTTTTATGGTTATTTTTTCAATTTTTTTTTTTTTATTATATTTCTATTAAAATATTATATTTGAAAAAATAACTTTATTAATTTTCTAATTTTTTTTTAATATATCTAAATATTTTAAAATTATTTTTTATAATTTCTAGAATATTCTACATGTTTTTTAAATAAATTTACATATATTTTATGTTGCCAGCTGAATGCTAATTAGCTTCAATCAAGCCTATACAATTTGCTTCTAATCTTTTTCAATAAATATTTTTTTTACTCAAATAGAAATAATGAAAGTGGCTATTTTCTTCACTTTTAATAATTAATTACTTTATAAAAATTTTTATTATACCATTATCTATCTCTATTTTGAAAAAACGTCTATATATAACTAATTATTCAATAAATCAGAATAAATTATATAATTTGATTATTTATTATAAAACTATAAATTTTTAACTCTATATTTATATTTGCAACAAATCATTAATTAAACTTTAAAGCACTCTTTTAGAACAAATACTTTTTTGTACCCAAAAAATTAAGTAATTATCAGCCTTTCAAGCAAAGTTTATTCATCATTTAATTAGTAATTTATGATACTTGAGTAAGAAAATTTTTTAAAATTATTATCACATTATTAAAAAATTAATATGATTTTTTATTATACAAATTTATTTCAATAAATATATTAAATCATATTTTTATGCAAATTTTTGTTTGATATTTTTTATTTATTTTTACTTAATTTCTGTTAATATTAACAATTTTTTTCATATATCTTCTTTCATATTTTTATAATTATTTTATAATTTAATTTTGGTCAACATTTATACAATTTTCATCTTTTCTTAATTTTGGATTGCATATTTTACTTCACAGTTTAAAACTGTCACATTTTCCACTAAAAGCAGCAAATTGCCATTAATATTTCCACACATTCCTTCTTCAATAACAGCAGCAATTAAACATTTTCATAAAAAAAAACTTAAACATTTAAATAAACTGCGCACTCACTTTATAACCGCGTTGCGGATGCGATTTTTACTAAATATCATGCTGTTTTCAACGACAACACATTAGAAAATAGCGTCGGCATTTGCACTATTTCGGCTACGCGCACTTCGAATACGTCACGTCAATTGGCAATACGACGGCAAGTCACGATACGACGACACAGCAACAAAAAAATCGAAACACACTCTACTCTCACGTTTGGTGTGTCACTGACTGCACCTTTCGACACTGACAAGCCTATACATTTGACATGATCGCTCACCGCAATGCCACTGCGATTGACCGACACTCATATACTCAGAGGCCAAGAGGCATAAAGGCAAAAATACACGCGTATGCAAGCAGCGCAATATGTGCGCTCACTACTGCTTAAACTAAAGTTAAGAGTATTTTGTTTGGGAAGCGGCACAGCATTAAAGAGTTAACACAGCTTGCCGAACAAACGCTCAGCTTCAGTCTTCTGTTTGTTGGAGCATGCGCGGTGCTGGCAAGCACTCGGCAGAACACAGGCAGAGCGCTCTTAAATGCAGTGAGCGCTCCAATAACACACATGAAATTCTGCAACAATGTTGCGAGCGCGTTAAATATTGAATTAAGGCGCTCAACAATTACGCTCGCGTTCATCAGTGACATGTTGGCTTTATGTAGCTAAATGTGAATTTCGTACAAACACAGCGCGGCGCTCTCTTTACTCGCATTCGGTGAGAGCATGCGCGCACATACATGTACACGTTTGGTGAGCGCGCTCAATCTCGTTTATTTTAACTGTGTGCGCGCTTGCACTTTTGACATGCCGCTGACGAAATACACAACCTTGCGCGCTGTCTGTCCTGTCTGTCTGTTGGTGCGATGTCTGCTGTTCACCGGCGTGTTGCTGTTGTGTTGTTATTATTTTGCTTATTCAATACAAATTCGCAACCATAATTTGCAAGAGCAAGAGCGCGTCAGTATAGTAGGCTGCTGTGCGCTCGCTTACACTGCAGGTTTTTGGCAGTTAAATGACGCACATTGCTGCTACCTCCAACCTCCATTATTTTTGTGCGTTGTTTTTGCATTTTGTTATTATTGTTTTTGGAATTTTATTAATTTCTAATTTGGTGGCCTTATGCCAATTTGCTGTTGGGGCGCTCGTTTTTAACTCGTGCGTGTATCGTTGTTGTATAATGCTGCGTGGAAGTAAAGAACGCGTAATTCTTTAACAATATTTTGCATTACTCGTTGGTATTATATAACATATTTTTGCAGTAATCCATATGTACTTAGATAAATTTGTAACATCGCGCAAATGCAGCTTCACTCTTTTGTTTGCTGTCACCACACCCCCTGTCAAACACACACACACGCACATATACTCACCTTTTTATACATCTTTCATTTGCCTTTTCTTCAAATCTGGTTCGTCTTCGTCAACCATTGTACGAACACGTCCGTCTACGGCTACTGCTCGTTTGTTCGTTACTCGTCGGCGCCGAGTCAAATAACGAGTCAACGTTCCATCACAGCTCCTAAGATTTATGACAGTTGCAAGCAAATTTCACGCGCTCCTTTTCTCGCCAACATCAACTGCCACTCAACGCCGCTGCGCTGACATGCTTTGTCTCTCTGTCTATCCATCCATCGCAGCG